GCGCCGGCCCTCTTCCGAGAGGGGCGACGACGACCCCGTCGCGGCGGAAAGCGACGGCCGCGACATCGGCGCGCGAACGGCAAAGAGGCCGAGTGCGCGCACGATGGCCGTCCCTCGGGCGCAGGGGTGTGCAAAGTCGGTCCTCGGAGCCGCCGTCCCGCCTGTTCTTCTTGTGTTGCTCTCTCGGGAGCAACGCGCCCGATTCAAATCGTCGGGGTCGTTCTAATGCTGCTTGAGAGCCGGCTGATGAGCCGGCATCTGAATCGGGTGTCTTGCGGCCGGGAGAGCCGCAAAACAGGCGGGACGGCGCCCCCGAGGACCCACTTCGGACACCCCCGCTCGAGCGGCTGAAGAGTTTTCAGCAGCCGGCCGGCGGGAGGCGGCGCCGACATATTTGACAGTCAAGTGACAGAACGGCGCGCCCGCTTCAGTCTCCCCGGCAACCGAAGCGCCGCGGCCGCGGGTCGGGTTTCGTTTCCAGCCGAGCGGAGAGGCGGCGCGTGGGATCACGTGAGCCCCGACGTCAGGTCACCCCGATCGCGGCCGAAAGCGACGCCTGTTTGCCGGCCGCCCGCAACGCGAGCGTCTGCGCCCTGCCGGGGGGCGGACATGGCCGTTCGCATCCCGGACGACGCGGACTTCTCCTCCTTCAAGGCTCAGTGCCTCGCCACCCAAGGCTGGTCCAGGCGCTACCACAAGGGAGGCGTCACCGTGTGGTGCCGCCCCGACGACGACGACGGCGACGGCGACGGCGTTCAAAAGATCAAGGTGATCCTCCCGCCGCACGCAAACGCTAAACGAGGCCTCCGCATCGAACGCGGCCACGGCTCAGTCGGTTCGCGATTCCACGTTTCCTCTTTTGTTGGCCACGCGGCGCACAAACGCGCTTCCATTGAAAGCTCGGCGCTAACGTTCGGCCGGAGGGCCGAACGCGCGGCGGAGGGCCTCCCGGGTCCATTTTCAAGGAGGCCGCGGATTGAATTTCGCGACGAGTGGAAAAGACGTGTCACGTTGACGCCGCGCTGTTCTCGCCGCGCGATCCAGATGAAGATGGCGTGCGGGGGCGTGAGCGCCGAGACGCTGTACGACGTCCTGCACGACGGCGGCTACCGCAGGAAGTGGGACGCCAACATGATCGACGCCTACGACATCGGCAGGCTGACCGTCAACGCCGACGTGGGCTATTATTCCTGTGAGATGCCGGACTTGCTCGGGATCCCCCCGGCCTCCGTTTCAATCGTGTTTGAGTTGTTGCTAAAAGAACCCCCCCCCAAAAACGGTTCGGTTCTGCTTTCGTGCTGTTTTCCAGCTCGGCTGGCGGCAAGAGCACAACCAAAGAGCCGAGATCGGAGCGGCCGAAGCGCCGGGCTCGCTGTCGCCACCGCAGCTGTTGCCGCGCCGGGGCGACCGGC